CTTCACTGGTCTGGGAAGATTGGTGAAAGTGTCATTGATGTTGATGCAACCTTGGTAAACCCCAGGGCCTGACTCACCCCCTGGAATTTTGTTGCAACATTGTAACGTCGGGCTTTTCAGTCAGATTAGCCTTGTGTACAACGAGGAAGACGTGAGAATGACTGTAAATTGTTCAATGTAACGTGCGTGCCTCGACATCTGCAAATTTCCGATAATCAAACGTTGCATATTGAATTGTTTCATATTCAGTGGTGTGCTGCCTTGACGTCTTCATGTAATTATTTATTTACATCAATATTAACATTACTGATTACGAAAAGCAAAATACCGATCGTTTATTTTGTTGTCATCTTCATAAGGATCTTATAATTACCCAGAGAGTTCTGCTCCGCGTTTTTGATTTCAATAACATATCAATGCAAATTAAAATATAGTTACCTCTGGTTGGTTATTAACACGTCTTTAGAGCCATGCCAAACAACATCATTCGTGTTTGTCATCTTTGAAATAAATTTTTTTCCAAAAAAAGTCAATCGCGCGTCAACAAAAAAAAACACCAAGTGCCAGTAATTTAACAATAATTAATGTGTACACGTTGATCAAATAGCAAATTCTTTAACATTTATAAAAGATTACTCAATCCCGTAACACTGCTTTTTTCCTTACTTGGGATAGATTGTATGATTTTTGTTTTGATTTTTTTTTTTGGTAAATTAAATTTGTTGCTTGCCTCTCTTGCTCACTTGCACATCCTCGATTACAGTGAACCCTCTATAAGTGCACCCTCCCTAAATGCACGCACTATGTATACCCTCCATAAATGCACACCCTCCATAAATGCACGCTCACACAAGAAATAGCACTATGTTCCCGAGGGTGTGCACTTATAGAGGGTTCACTGTACAAAACCTGTTTCTTGTGTTGAATTAAATATTTTTTTTTAAATAATAAATGAATTAATTCCAAATTGTTTTTCTAGTGGCGATGCTAATACTAAATCAATAATGGATTAATTTCTTGCTGGTATTTTTAGTAGTAGGAGAGGATTTTTTCAAAAAAAGCTTAATTAATTTTCTTTAACAACACATTTTTGGAAAAGGCTCGATTTTAATCGAGTGATTTCTTTTTCATTTTTTTTTACTTATAAATACAACCTCTGAACGTTTTTAAAAAAATTGGGAGAGTGATCAATGATCAATGATCAAAAGATTTATACAACGCAATCAATTTTGTGAAACGAAATTTTCCTTTTCTTTCGAAAATTTCCAGAGAGAGATAGTATCGTTGCCAATTCTTTCTAAATATTACCAAAATATTGCCAATATTTTCTAAATTGTTATAAAGTATGTTGCACTGATTTGATTGAGTTGTATTCTTTCGTTAATTTCGTTAAATAGATAAATTGGGTCTCTGAAGTCACCTGACCAAATTTGATAAAGATGATTATTAGTGAAAGTTTTTTTGCTGAAGTTACATGAAAATTTGGATAGATTTTTAATAAGTGGTGTGACTATTTTGGATATAGCAGAAATTTTTTTATTATAAGTCGTATCCAAAATCAGGGTAATAGTAATAGTAATAGTAAAACAATTTTTATGTCATATGAAATTATGGGTAAAGCAAAAAATTTTAAAATAGGAGAATAGGTAAGGGTTAAATTGTACATAGTAGAAAGTTTTGAGTCCTTTTCCATTTAAGTAAATTTTCTAAAGAACCTGCTTAGCTAATAACAAATTTTTATTATTATTTTTTTTATTTTTTTCAAAATATTTTGGCTCTTTTTGACAATTAATTTACATTGATATATTTGCTATTTGTATGTAGCTTCATCATTTTTTACAGCTGAGACAAATCAAATGAATAGAACATGTAATTATTTAAAAAATCTTTTTTCTTTTGTCCATACTGTCATCAATTATTATTTGAGGAGAGCGTATTAACTTGCTTCGGGATCATGTGACAATAACTTTTTACATTTAACAATTTGGTGTTTATTATTTATTATTAACTTATTTTCAGGATCATGTGACAATAACTTTTTTCATCATCTAGTTCATCAAAGCACTCGAAGTAAATACTGGTAATTGAATGGTAAAGGAATTTAACAATTCATTAATACTGGTGTTTATCATTTACTATTAACTTGCTTTTCGAGATCATGTGATGATAACTTTTTTCACCATATAGTTTATCAAAGTACACTGAAGTAAATATTGGTGACAATGATTTGATTGTAAAAGAATGCTAATAATTTATTAATATATTAATTAACTTATATGTCCACCAATACCACATCCAATCATTATGTACCAATTCAGTACTGATTCAGATTTAGATGAGTTTTTTTCATAGGCTGTCTTTGTAATTAAATCAAGGACTGTATGTTCTACAACCTTAAAATCATTTAGGGTGTGTCGCATTCTTTTGAATATTTGTTTATTACTTTGTGACTTCAAAATAATTTTTTTGGTGACTCCAATTTTAACAATTCTTTAATAAAATTTTTAAATTAGATGGAGTGGCATTATAACTTTGTTTACAAATCCAAACCTTACACATTTCAACAACATCTTCATCGTCAATTAACCCATGTGTTTTTGATGTTTCCCTTGTCTGGATATTGGAAGTTTATTGTTAAGTTTGCAGAATGTCTAATTCTTCTTGCTTTCCATAGACCACCATTAATGAATGATTTTTTAGCAACTTCCAAGCTAGCATTAATTTTTTTACAAGCGCCATTATTTATAGGGTAAGGTATTCATAAATAGCTCTTTTCCGATTTATGTTCAGTAACTGTTTTCTGGCTGGCTGTGTTATTTCTAATTCATCTTTAGATTTTGTATTTTTTTCATCTATTTGGCACGCTTCATCCATTGAATTGTTTAAAATTTCTTCTATATCTTCGTTGAGCCTGGATAATTGTTGATCTGTAGCTTCATTATTATTTGTTTTAAAAAAGCCTTGTTGATTTTTCGGTATCTTTCCTCTCATGTATGGATCTCCCTCTCCTTGTCATTTCTAATTAACTATCATTTTTCCACAATAAATAATTTTTGATATCTTCTTCTATATTTTCTATATCGTCCCAATCACCCACTATCCTCGCCTCACTTATCATCATTATTAATATCACTCAATTTATCCGACTTGTTCAATTCTTTCTCATCATCATTATCATCATTATCCAAATTATTTAATCCCTTTTCTTTATCAACTTTGCTTACCATATTCATCACCCTGTTTACTTAAATATTGACTTTTCTTTTAGAAAGGTAGCATTTTTAATTAATAAAAAATTATTAATCAATTACACATAATATTAAGATCGCGTAAATAACAAGAAAGTGTTTATTGAATTTCTCGCGTGATAAAAGAGGCTCTGATTGGTCTGAAATTTGAAAATATTTTTTAAATTTGACCCCTGTAATCGTTTGTTCACTATGCATCGTGTAACTTTACAAAAAAAAATATTTTAATATGACAACAGATACAAAAATACCAACAACAACAACTACTATTACAACATTACCAATAACAAAAGGTTTTATAAATAATGTAATTGAAAAGCCTGAAGGATTCATAATACCAAAAAATGAAGAATATTCAATAGAAGCATTAAAAGTCACAAAAGAACTTTTTGATTTAGGTATTTCCAATCATTAATTGTGCAATCAATCAAACAATCGAAATATTGCAATTTTTAATCTAATTCTAATTGTAGGAGTGAAAGAAGAAAAAAATTTTTTTTCTAATAATAAACCAACATCTAATGATGATGATGATATTAGGAATCCATTTGAAGAATTGATTGTTGATGGAATTGATAATGATTTAATTTGGGCAGAAATTGAATTAAAAAATAATTTATTTTCAAAATTTTTAAATAAACAATTGATTGATATTGAAAAGAAAGTAATGAATCAAAATTATAGTGAAGAAGTTGGTGATGAGGAGGACGAAGATGACGAGGATGATGAGGATGATGAGGATGAGTTTGACAAAAATTTGATGGATATAGATGATGAAGAAGATGATGAAGCAGAAGAATATAATTATAATAAAATTCCTATAAAACTCAAATTAAGATAATCAATATCTAGTTTTATAATCAATAAAACATAATAACAAACATAATTGAATTTTTCATAACTAGTTCAAATGGTAGCTGAATTATAAAATAAGAAACTAATTTTGGAATTAAATCCATTCCTAGTATAATTTGACATGATATTGCTTGCTTTACCATCAACAACTACCCTGTAAAAAATTTACTCCGTGATTAGTCTCAGTGTTTTTTTTCCGTTATTAATAATAATATTAGTATGTTTAATCAAGTTTATAGTTAACAAATAAAATACTTGTAAAAAAAAAAATGTCCATTTTTATTTGCGAATTTATCAGTTACTTAATAATATTCCAGAGCTATAAAATCTTATCCTCACATTTTGTTTTAATTCCACATTTACAAATGTCCTTATTATTATGTTAATATAAATGACATACGGAAAAAATCCGGATTGCTTACTCAACTGATTGCTGCTTTTATGAAATAAACTGAACATTTACGGAGTGATAAACATGATCACGGAGATATAATGGAAATATTCTGGAGTGGCATTTTTTACAGGGCCCTCCAGGTAGAGAACAATTATTGGGACTGAAAATTATTTTATTGGACTAGTTTTAAAACAAAAAAAATTTATAACATTTCAAAAATATTAAGATTTAGGAAACTTCCTATATACAAAAAGGATCTTTTTTATGAAATAGTTGTCTTTGACATTTGTAATTTAAAGAAAATTAAAGAAAATACATAAAATATATGATTAAGGAAATTTTATGGAGGGCTTGCCCTCTGTGCACATTAAAATAGTTCCATCCGTGCTGGTAACTAAATTAAAATAATAAAATAATATATAATTATTAGAAGAATTAGAATAACCAGTTTCAAAGCAAATTAATAAATAAAAATAGATAACTTACGGGTCATGTTTACGAAAAACTCGACGGTTCGAGCCTTAGGTTGGTCAGGAGTACTAGGGATCACATATTGAGATTCAAAGTCGAGGTATCCTGCTGGAATTGGACATTTTTTATTAAGGGGTTTATGCGGACTTGTACAATAAGTATGTTGATGTGAAAGTATCAATGTGCCATCAAGTCGAGTGACAGTCACGGTAAAGATGGTTGTTGGTAAAATTTCGACAGTGCTATCCCATATAATGTGTTCGGTGATCTTTTGGTCGGGTACGAATATTGCTGGAGTGTATGTATCTTTGATAATAGTGATGGGAAAATTACCAGCACATTGAGTGAATTTACCAACATTGTCTGCTCTTTTTCTGACATCATTATACGGGAATGAATTGATCATTGTTGCGAATACGAATAAGAAAAGGAACAAGAAAATAATATTATTATTGATTGTGTGCATTTTCTTTTTTTTAAACAAATGATAGTTTGTTGTTTTTTACTTTGGTAGAATTCTCTCATCATTTATATAAAAAAAAACCGAGACAAGTTTTCTTAATGTGGCATCGAATTTCAACAAATAAAAAAATCCCTAAAGAGGACATTGATGTATATTATTATGTTTTTACCAAATAAAGCACGCATATGCATGCAGTTTTTTGACATTGTCAAATTACTAAATCTAATTGAACATATGTTTTGGGAAAAAGATCGACAATCTTTTGCCGAGCAATTTTCAAAATAAATAAACTTTCAAAGCTATTAATAGAACCATCATACTTTCTATAGAACAATATGCTAGTATGAAGGCTTGTATAATCTCACCAATTGTTAAGACATTTAAAGCAAAATTGAAAAAAAAATCTTGCTTTAAAGTAAAATCAACAATAAAAGGCCACAATATACGTATAACCTGCATAAATTATTGACAAAATCAAGAATTTGTGTAGACTATACAATTGTTTTCTTCGATATAAAAGGATATCCATTAAACCTTATTTACTTTGATAATAAAGTTTCGAAAATAAACGTCTACTTTTTCGAATTTTTCATTTTATTTTCCATATTAATATTAATTAGAATTTTCAGAAATATACATTTGCATAATCACTTGGCATTCTAAGAAAATCAAACCTGTTTGATACCATATATTGATTGATTGGTTATACAGTATGTAAAGCTACATATGAACCAGATTGAGACATATTATTAAAATTTTGATTCTAACCAACAATGTCATATACTACAATCAAATTCTCGTCATAACGGACTTTAAAAACATAAAAATCCGTTGTGGCAAGATTACTAATCTTTCCGCAGCGGATTTTTATATATTTTAAAAGTCCGTTATGACGAGGATTTGATTGTTATTATAGTCCGCTGTGACAAGGTTTGACTGTATCTAGAATTTTTGTCCTACACTGTCAAAAAAATATTTTTATGAAAAACCCGAATTGGCCTAAATTAATAAAAACAAAGAAATTTATTATTAAAAAGCGACGAATATTCAAATAATTTTAATGATCCGCTTGATTCAAATATTCAAATATTCAAATATTTGATGCTTCGAACTGTTTTATTCGACTACAGTCAAACCTCGATAAGCTGAATCACAAAAATGGGATCGATTTATCAAAATTCGGTTTTGATGATTTACAATTACAATTAATTATGTTTTTGGTTAACCAATTTTGTATCGTTATAAAATGAAAATCGGGTTGTAGTGGTTCGGCTTATTGAGGTTTGACTGTAGTAAGCTTTTATGTAATTTTTTGTGATCATTAGTTTACATAGGAAATATAATGATTTCGGATCATTATTTTTCCTTTATTCTCAAAGATACAGGCATCAAATTTATGCGAAAAGGTAGTAGATAGTGTGCAATTCAGAGCTTTCCTTGTCTGTTCATGATCATGGTTGGTTCTATTTCTTTATTATTTATACCATCATACTTGCTTCTTCAGAGTTGTACCATAATCTATGATATTCATCATTCTATCAATTTGTATATATATATATTCTTTAATTTGTATCATCTATAGCATGATCCGATTAATCTTCCCATATTGTAAAAAATTTCCCTTGTATAGTGCACGCCACAACAACCCATCAAATAAAAATTGACCAGCTTTAAAACCTAAAAAGAAAATATTGTGTGCTTATAAAAAAATTATTGAGACGATATTTGATAGCTTTTGACCAGTTCTACAATCTATCATCGAGATAATTAAAAAATTATTATTGGTTCAAGAGTTATAAGCTTTTGAAAATCATGTAATTTTTATATTTTATATATAAAATTTTTCAAATTTGAAACATGTAATTTTGGCCCACCTTAAGTCACACATAAAATAGATTTTTAATTCTGGTGAATTACGCAATATAATTCATCCATAAAATTTGAAATTTCACGCGTTTTTTTTTTCTAGTCAATAAATCTTGATAATAATAATTGCATTGAATTTATGAATATAAAATAATCCCATTCGATTTTTTTTTTGTTTAAAGTTTCTCTTAAAGGACCTTTAACTTGTTGTGCTATACATACCTTAGCAACCAAGATGATTTTAAAAACTAAAAACCCTTACTACAAAAATTAATTGAAGAAAGTCATCTTCTATCCAAAGTTTCACTGTGAACCTAACTACATTGAAATGTGTTTGGGGGCTGCTAAATGATATGTTAGACAACATTGTAATTACACATGGAAAGGTCTTCAAGAGAATGTCCCCAATGCTTTTGATTCTATATCACTGAAACAAAATTAAAAAGTATGTGGTGAAAGCTCAAGATTTATGGATTGTTACAGAAAAGAATTAACAGTACTACTGGCTGAATACATTGTAATAAAAATTTTTGTGAATTTGAAACATTTTGCGCAGCATTTGATGGGTTATAATGGCGTGCACCATATATGTTTTTTACTGAATTTACTGCTCTCTCTATTATACCTTGATTGGTATTCAAATTTATCATGCAAAATCAATGGCCAAAATTAACGAAAGAATACAACTCAATCAAATCAGTGCAACATACTTTATAACAATTTAGAAAATATTGGCAATATTTTGGTAATATTTAGAAAGAATTGGCAACGATACTATCTCTCTCTGGAAATTTTCGAAAGAAAAGGAAAATTTCGTTTCACAAAATTGATTGCGTTGTATAAATCTTTTGATCATTGATCATTGATCACTCTCCCAATTTTTTTAAAAACGTTCAGAGGTTGTATTTATAAGTAAAAAAAAATGAAAAAGAAATCACTCGATTAAAATCGAGCCTTTTCCAAAAATGTGTTGTTAAAGAAAATTAATTAAGCTTTTTTTGAAAAAATCCTCTCCTACTACTAAAAATACCAGCAAGAAATTAATCCATTATTGATTTAGTATTAGCATCGCCACTAGAAAAACAATTTGGAATTAATTCATTTATTATTTAAAAAAAAATATTTAATTCAACACAAGAAACAGGTTTTGTACAGTGAACCCTCTATAAGTGCACACCCTCGGGAACATAGTGCTATTTCTTGTGTGAGCGTGCATTTATGGAGGGTGTGCATTTATGGAGGGTATACATAGTGCGTGCATTTAGGGAGGGTGCACTTATAGAGGGTTCACTGTAATCGAGGATGTGCAAGTGAGCAAGAGAGGCAAGCAACAAATTTAATTTACCAAAAAAAAAAATCAAAACAAAAATCATACAATCTATCCCAAGTAAGGAAAAAAGCAGTGTTACGGGATTGAGTAATCTTTTATAAATGTTAAAGAATTTGCTATTTGATCAACGTGTACACATTAATTATTGTTAAATTACTGGCACTTGGTGTTTTTTTTTGTTGACGCGCGATTGACTTTTTTTGGAAAAAAATTTATTTCAAAGATGACAAACACGAATGATGTTGTTTGGCATGGCTCTAAAGACGTGTTAATAACCAACCAGAGGTAACTATATTTTAATTTGCATTGATATGTTATTGAAATCAAAAACGCGGAGCAGAACTCTCTGGGTAATTATAAGATCCTTATGAAGATGACAACAAAATAAACGATCGGTATTTTGCTTTTCGTAATCAGTAATGTTAATATTGATGTAAATAAATAATTACATGAAGACGTCAAGGCAGCACACCACTGAATATGAAACAATTCAATATGCAACGTTTGATTATCGGAAATTTGCAGATGTCGAGGCACGCACGTTACATTGAACAATTTACAGTCATTCTCACGTCTTCCTCGTTGTACACAAGGCTAATCTGACTGAAAAGCCCGACGTTACAATGTTGCAACAAAATTCCAGGGGGTGAGTCAGGCCCTGGGGTTTACCAAGGTTGCATCAACATCAATGACACTTTCACCAATCTTCCCAGACCAGTGAAGGCTGCTGACACGCTAGCCGAAAAGTTGTCTGCAAGCAACTCTGGAAGAATATGCAAGCATAGGGAGGTTACAATTCAGAGCAGGTTGGTGGCCCTGAAATTGCATTTGGCCTTTGATGTTAGGAGAAAGGCTGTAAAGTAAAATGGTTCAGATTTTGTTTGGTGTGTTATAAATTTATCATTTTCATAAATTTTCTGTTTCTCTTTAATTTTATTATTTAATGGGGTAGGTTTGTTGGTAAGTTGGAATGCCACTGACAAGACAGCAACCCAGACTCAAAACTCTGAACTCAGGGAAAATCTAATACAGTAACGTTATTCTAGTGAGAGGGGTATAACACAAAGTAATCATCACACAAGCACCAGCTATCAGTGATCAATGCCCATATGGAAACAGCCAAGTCTGGTCTGAGAGGAAGATGAGGGAAGTTTTGTCCAAAGCCTTGCAACTTGTCCAAGTTGCTCACACTCATGGAAAAGTT